GAGTGTGTGTGTGTGTGTATGTGTGTGGTAGTGAAAACAAAAGGCAAACGACAACAAGATGGAAAATGCAAAACCACAGAAAATAATGACACAAAATGACTTCAACAGCAGGCAGCATCAGCTGCTGGGCTCCAACTGGGGGCAGCAGAGAGCGGCACATGGCCACACATATGAGAAGGATATGAGTAGCTGAGCAGCTGGACAAGTGGAGCATATACATACACATACATATATGCCGAGTAGTAAGCAGCGTCTGGCAAATGTCCGTGCGGAAATGAAAGTTTTTGCAACACAAATGTTGCAACTATGTGAGATGTGTGTGTGTGTGTGTATGTATATTAGTGCGTGTGTGCGCGTGTGTTTGTGTTAATGGACTAGTTTTGTTGGGCGACAAGTAGAGGGCTATCACTTACAAAGCAACCAAGCAAAAAGCCAATCCAAAACCAAAGCCAAATCAATCAACACCCCTGCCCCCAGTCCCGCCGCGCTTGTAAAACAGCCTAACGGACTCGGTCACTCTAGCTCTCTCTCTCTCTCTCTCTCTCTCCCTCCCACACTCTCACTCACTGTCGAGCTGCTCATCAATCATACGAGGCGGCGCAGAGTTGACATTTCAACTGAGCTGTCACATGCTGCAGCTACCCCCTGCCCCTCCTACGCGGGGGGAGGGGGCGACCCCTTCCCCTGGCCCTTGCCTGCGTTCGGCTCACAAAATTAATGATAAATTTATTATAATTAAAATGCCAGCTCCACGTTTTGCTTGCTCGCGAATGTAATTCGCATTAATTACAGCGAGTGCAGCAGGCTCGACCTTTGGCCAGGGCTTGTGCCTGACATTAATACAGCCAGCAGTCGATTCATGTTCGTGTCGTGTCGAAACAAGCCTGACACGAATGTGCAACAAGCGCAAAAGTTTACATTTTACATTCGCTACTGCAGTTCAGGTAATTCAGGTTTCTATATATAAATATTTACAGATATATATATATGCATATATATATAGGGATTTATATTCAGTTTATAAACATATGAGCAAGAGGTAAAGAGTCGCTTTAAGCCTGATTGACAAAGGCTTTGTTTCTATACAAAAGTCTAAAGTAAAATTGGAAACTTGTTGAATATGCTTTCTATATGCTCAATCGATTGAACCAATTCTAAAGATATATGCATATATACTCTATAAACAGTACATACAGACACTCAACTTAGCCACACAGTGTCTTCATCTTCTTCTTCCTGTAGCTTTAAAGCCCTCTGCATTCAGTTAAAATCTCAACAGTCTCGATGAGCTCTTAACCCTCAACTTAGCGCCATGCCCATTGTCATATACATATGTATGTACGTATGCATGTGCGTTGGTTCATTTACTGGCCCACCTTTGGGGTGAGCCATTTGCGCCCTCCTTATCCAAGCTGGATCAATATGCTTGGCACCTGCCGCGCATCGTGGGGCTTAAAAAGAAATCGCGTCTGTCAAATGACCCAAACAAATTGCAAAACTTTGCCAGCCATCAGCTTTGAATGCCATTAAGTGCTCTGCTCTATAGTGTAGTGTAGTGTAGTGTACTCTAATGCAGCCACACACACACACAGACACAGACGCCCCCCCACACTGACGACTGACGGCTCCACTGTGTGATAGCAATGCGCTTGTCCACTCTGTAAGTGGCAGTTGATATAGTAAAATGTATTGACGTTGACATAATGGCAAAATCAAACACACACACACACACACGCAGGCACATACTCGCACATGCACATACACACACATACACACTGAGTGAAACACCTACAGAGTTGAGTGAGTGCCACAATAATAACAAATAAACTCGCAAGCGAAACGTTACTCCTGGCGCTGTTGGCGTGCACAGCTCGTGTCACGAATAGCACGAAGGTGATAGCTTTAAATTGTCCACTTTTATATAGAATAATCATTCAGCAAGATAAAGTCTTCCCTACACTGGTGCTTCTTTTGATCTTAAATATGAAATATGCAATATTCTTCAAGCTTCGTTAAGAGATCTTGTAATCTGAAACTGAAGATGTTGAGATCGCATCGAAACTGGATATCTAATATTATGAACTAGGATTTGTTTTAAACGATGTTAGATCGCCTTTCAAATAAGGGAATATATTGGACCTTGGCAGTGATTCCGATGCATCTCCATTAGGCTTTGAAGACTCTATTTACTTTTTTTATCTCTATTAAGCCACGTTCATAGCGCAGTTTCTTAATCTCTCCTTATTTGTTTCTTGCACTGCCCTACTTTCAGTTTATTCTTCGAACAGTGCACCACAATCTTGCTCAATCTCTCTCTTTGTCTCTTTATCTCTCTCTCCCTCTCTCTCTCTTTGTCTCTCTCTCTCTCTCTCTTTGTCGCTCTCTCTCTGTCACACACACACTCTCTTTCGTATATTTAACAACACTAGAGTGTTGCCTTTGTAGTTGTACTTGGTTCATCCTTCTCAACTTCGGCATTATTTCACTCATTTCCCATTACGTAATGCTCATTGAGAGTTTCACAGAGTAACATTTAACTAACATTAAGATGTATTCTAAGAAATACAAATATCTTCCGATCGCTTCGATCTATGTATGCGGATAGGCACGAGCTCATCTCTGGCTTCGCTATAGACAGCGTGATTCAGGACACGTTTTGGACGTAGACAAACTAAGAGCGCTGGATGGCAGGCAGAAGGTGTTGGGGGGGCTGGGCCAAGTGGGCTATGGGCGGCAACCACTGTTGACATTACAAAGTAGCAAAAGTTGTTGCTGTTGTTGTTGTTGTTGTTATTGCTGATGTAAATCAGTGAGAGAGAGAGAGTGTGTGTGTGTGTCTGTGTGAGCTGTGCATAAATATGCATTTGCCCATTTACCAACTGCCAGCGATTGCATGTGCATATTTATATACTCACACTCACACACCCACACCCACACCCACACCCATACACATACACACACACACGCATACACCCATTCATTGGCCGGCCACGTGAATTGTAAATCTGGAAATTTAAATGTATCTGGATATGGGTTAGTGTGTTGCTTCTGTGCCCGCCTTGCATGCATGTCGCCACACACAAGGCACCTACGAGGCCCATGCACACACACACAGACACACACACACCCTCGGTCAGCCCCGTCAAAATATAGAGTTGGTAAAAAATATGTACATATATTTATAGTAGATATTCAACGTCAACTTTTTTACAACTGTCGCATGTCGAAATAATGCAATTTATAGCTCTCGATATGACAGCACATTTCATTGCAAGCCAGTTCATCAGAACTAGTTCCAATCGGATTATCTGCAAAAGACTCCAATATGCTGGAAATATTAACTAGCTCGTGTTAGGGCACTTTAAATTGATTAACTTAAATTAAGGAACTAGTTCACAATTTCACTAGTTCTTTAACAGTGAAATTACTAAAAAAATTTGTCCACTTTATAAACCAATCAGGAGCATAAATAAGCTTAAATATTATATTCATGGTATATTAATATTGAGAGCTAGTTCATTTCTACTGCAATACAAACAAATTATAGGGATATTATTTAGTCCAGCATTCCGAAGAAAATTAGACCACAAAATGTAAACATAATTAAAATACATAGCAAATCAAGTTATTCAAGTGAAAGTATCAATTTGTACCTTAAATATGTTGGCCTCCTTTAAATAAACTGGTTCCGTTCGTGTAGAACAGTTCCAGGAACCGGCATTCATGCGAGTCTTTAGTAAATTGAGTCGAGTTTATATTGTCATATCTAGATCTATGTAGCTCTAGCAATTTAAATGTGTGGAACTATTTGCTAGTTCCGAACAATATCAGCTCAGCCATACACATGTGTGTGCATTCGTGTGCCATAACAATTACTGGCAATAACAGTAACAGCAACTAGAAGGTCTCCTTTCAAAAAAGGCAAACAAGAAGTCAGGCAATGGCATTTTGGAAGCCATGCGATGCCAGCGAGTGGTTTTCTCGCTTGTTCCACATGTTCCATGCAGACCGTGCCGTGTTACATGTTACCTCTTTCAGCAACAGCAACAACAACAACAACAACGACAACAACAATGGCAATAACAACAACAGCCAATGGCAACCGCCATTAGTTGAGCCGGCTCGGTGACGGGCAACACTTTTAAATGGCTTTTAATTTTGAATGACAACATTTGAAATGTTCGAATTACGCGCAAATATTTTGATAGATACGCGATGCTTGACTAACCAGACAATCTGACTGAGTGACAAAGCTGAAAGACTCGAGCCTTCAGCGGAATGTCAACAGTCATTGCTAGCGACAGCTATCGAAAATCGTAGATGGCGAGATACATGCGATACGTAGAGGGTCGTTTCAGACATGAAGTAGCTGAAATGTGCTGAAAGATAGATGCTTGGCTAAAAGCTACTTTAAAAGGTGTTTATCTGTTATTTAAAAGCATCGATAATTATCGATAACTTTCGTAACTGACTCACAGAACAGGACAGAGGTGCAAACTGAAAGTCCTTTGCGTCCACCTAATACAACAATGAACGAGAATCGAAATTAAGGCTAAGCGGATCGAGTACAAGAAAATAATATATTGTATAACTATAATAGAACTAGTCTATCGCGAAATCTAAAAGTTGTACTGTAAAGTTTGTATGTTTATTATAATATAAAAATCTTTCCATATTTTTCGGTACATATATATATATATATATGTATATACTTTAGTTATTATATGAAATGAAAATTAATTTTGACAGACTCTAGAAAATTACGATAGAGTGAGAACTAAGTGGAAATTTAAGGAAGGAAACCTAACTAAAAAGTTGATCGAATTATGTTTTAATAGTAAGTTCGAAGTCCTAAGATCTAAGCAGGCATTTAGGTTTCAAATTTTATTATTCCCTATGTGATTAAAAAGATTAATAATACTATTAATATAAATATTTACTTTGCTTCTAATTGCTCTACTCTATCTTTCTCTCTTTCTTTCATTCTATCTTTCTCACAGCGGACAGCTCGTTTCTATTGGCCAACGCACAAATCGTCGATTTTCCGATCGTCTACTGCAATGAGTCCTTCTGCAAGATTAGCGGCTACAACCGAGCCGAGGTCATGCAGAAGTCGTGCAGGTATGTGTACGTATTGCCGATTTATTCTCACTCGCTCTGTTGCGCTCTCTTTCTAGATATAACTATGAATATACATAATTGTACTTAGCTTAAGTATTGTACTCTGTGCTCTCTTCTCTCGCGCTCCGCAGTTGCCCAATTGCGCGCTCTGTCTATCTCTACATATACAATATATCTCTCTCGCATTCACAGCAAAACAGAGTTTTGTACTCTTACCTACTATATATATCAATTGTATTCCATTACGCGTTAAGCCTTCTATTCATGTTGTCTGTTCGCCTTTGGTATTTACATACATTTACATCTGTTAACTGCATGCCTAGTCTTAAGCTCTGCATTTTGTCGTTCATCCAATATATTCATATGACTTTCATACGATATCTTATGTGCATTGTAAACCTTTTGAGTAGACTTGCCTCACCTTAGTATATGTAGTTTCTAGTTGCACTTAATCTAAGATTTTTCCTACATTTACGTAACCCACTTCTTGTTCACTTCACTGCGACTCGCAGTATTACCGCAGCACCAATTTTCCGTTTTCCGTATTCGATTTTTTGTTTCCCCCAAAACATTTTCCAAAGAGTTGGAGCCAAGGAAACACATTCTTAAAATGCTTTGCAGCACTTGCAGTCATGTTACTCTAACCGTAAGCACACTTCAGACCATTTTCTAGCTGACATGTAAGCGGATTGAGAGCGATTAAGCCGTGACAATGCACTACGACAGCCAAAAGGAATTCCAGTCAGAAGTTACTGGACTAGCTAGGTTCAACGCCATTGCTCGTAGCCCCTGAGTCCATTTATCAAGGCATTAAGCAGGCATTAAAGCCAAACCGCCGCAGTTCCGGCTATGCAGCATGCGTGACACTAAGGAGAAGAACAAGAACAAGCAGAAGAAGAAGAAGAGTATGAAGACAACAGACAATGCGGTCAGGTCAGCATTAATGTGCTTTTTGCCAACTGTTGTGTAACGGTCACTAATTGTTCGTCTAGGTCGCCGCGAAAAGGCAACAGAAAGTCGCAGCGGCGAAAGTGAAATACGATTTTGTTTGTTTCCTTGTCAAAGGCGAAATTGTGGCGAAAGCGAATTCGTATAGTTCGCAGCGAACTTGAAAAGTGTCCCATAGGTTCTTTGCCTCCCATCTGCATATCAGCTGACAAATGGCCGACGAGCTCAGCTCGCATTTGTTGTTATTTACCTCTGTTGTTGGGAAACATATGTTTCCATATCAGCTGGCGAATTAGATTGAAATATGAATGAAATTGTGTGTGTGTGTGTGTATGTTTTTTTTTTCTGACTGTTGCATGGACTCAAGTGGCCGTCAAACTGTAGCAGTGGGCGCACTCTGCGATTCTCCAGCGAATTGTTTATAATTTGTGGGCAAACATTTTCACAGTGGTTGGCGAAACAAGAGCGAACGAAATAAAGGAAATGAAAAGAGAAAAAACGTATGCAGTGCCAGGTCAGCCTCAAGTCCCTAGCGAGTCCCTAGTTGACTACTTTTTTATGTCTTCCTTCCGTTTGTTTTTCCATTTTTTTTTTCGTAAGACCAAATTTTCGTAATGCCAATCTTGCATTTAGCTGACTACGCTGTCGCCCTCTCTCTACCTCTCTCTCTCTCTCTTTCACTCTCAGTCGCTGTGTATGTGTGTGTGTGTTATTTATTGTTGCGCTTTGACCTACTTTGTTACTGTATGTGTGTTTGTCTCTGTGTGTTTGTGACCGCGTGGAAAAAGAAAACACCGCAAAAGGTTGACCAAAAAAAGAAAATCTGTTTTTTCCACTCCTCGCTGCCTCTCGCCCTCTGCCGCCCTATCTCATTCGCTCACTCGCCTTTTGTTTGTTTGCGTATTGCTATTGCCGCTGTTTCTGTTTGCCTAACTGCGCGCACTTTCTTTCAATTTGCCAGCTTGTGGAGCCCTTTAACTCCAATGGCCTCCCCCAAAGGCTCCACTGTTAGTTTTCTTCCTTTTTTTCGAGTCTATTGAGCGAGGGCTGCCTCTAACCTGCCTTTGTGCCTTGCCTGACTTGTAACCCAATTTTGTGTCTAAGCACACAAACACACACACACACAGACACACACTAGCACCAGCACATTGAAGTACTTACATAGATATAGTATGCAGCAAAACAGTTCATTGCACAAAATGGCCGGCGAAACGGAAATGAGTCGTTTTGCGTTTTTACTCGTGACGTCGCTGGGCGTCTTAACAGCGCCGACGCTAACTTCGCAGTCGCCGTCGTCGTCGCCGTCGCAGTTTATTGAACCTTAGTCATGGCATAAATAAACACATGCACACACACACACACACATACACATACATGTACATGCACATAAATATCATTCGTCTAACTGCAATAGCAGCAATCGAAAAAATAATCCAAAAACAACAACATAAACGAAAGCAATAACAACAACAACAACAACAATGACAAAGACAAAGAGTGAAATAGCGAGAGCGACAGCAACAGCGATAGCCTCGCCAAACACAAATTAACAGTTTTTATTGTGTCTCCTTTTGCACATTCACATTCGGATTCGCCTTCACCCATTGCCGACTGCTGACGTCATTGCAATTTACCCCGAGTCTCTCTCACACTAAGCTGCACTTACTGGTTCGCGTGCTCGGTCGCTCTTCCATGTCGTCCGTTCGCTCGTCCCACTCGCTCGCTCGCTAAGCGCTTGCCCATTTTACATATTTTCGCGCGCGCCCTAAAAGCATGCAACACTTTTTTCGCCATTTTTGTTGTGTTTTCTCTTCTTTTTTTTCATTTCTTGTTGTTTTTACTTAGTTTAGCACGTGCGCTGCCTTGGCAACGCTTTTCTATTTTTCATATCACTTTATATTTCGTGTTCCTCTTCCACTTCGTTTTTCAAGTCATACCTCAGCATTTTTGCTTATGCATGTGATAGCATCTGCAGGAGCAGCAGCAGCAGCAGCAGCAGCAGCAGCAGCAGCAGCAGCAGCAGCAGCAGCAAAGAGCTGCCAGCTAGAAGATTCGCCACACGATATGGTAATTTCCATCATCACTCGTGCTTGCCGGCCATTTGGTGTCAACGTGGCCAAAATTAATGGCCACCGCCGAGCCTAGCGGCAAGCCAATTTAGCATATTACCTGACCCGACACCGGAGAGCCAGCACTCGGTATATCTGTTCCGCGAATGAAATACCATAGGCTCTCCAGCCTTATGTAAACCCAATTATTAGATTAAACCGAAAGCTTTCTAGGAATTTCATTTATTAGCTCGTGTCGGCCCTTAACACTTCACAGCATGGCAAGATGAAAAAAAAAAGAAAACAAAGAAAACGCGAAGGATTCCTGAGAATTTATTCCTTTGCAATTCCAATCGAGTCGTGCGCCAGAGACTACCCAGAATCTAACGATTTCAAAGTAATTCAGTTTGAAGCTTTCAATTATCTATCAGTTGATAGGTATTTCGTAGCTCAATTCCAAGCTATACCAGGTATTGAATATACATTAATGTTAGGATATGATAAAAATGATTTTCTAATATTATAAATACGATATATAAAATATATTTGTTTGAAAACTAATAGAGCTATATACTGGACAAAATAGAATTTCAGGACTGTAGCTCTTATGGATGACGAGAACGATGCGATAAACACCAGCAGACAGATAAGCAAGGGCAAATTAAGCTATATTCAGATCATAAAATTAAGAGTGTTATACGTTAAACTTAAAGTAAAACATAAACAGCAATCAATATTGACATCTACTTAGCTGCACTAGCCAATATTTAAAAGATATTATTTATTGACTTAAAGTTAGAAAATATTACCAACACTGGTAATGAGTATATCGAGCGATCTATTTATATTTCTAAATATAACTTTGAAGAACCAATCGAAGTGCACGTAGAGCGAGTCCAAGTGTTAGTTAGTCCGCATTCAGGTAAGACATCTGCTGCTGGCTCTGGCATCTTTTCATTCACCTGCATGGCATGCCCTAATTATATTAATTATAATTAATTTATACTTATGTCTGTGTCTTTGTGTGTGTGCGTGTGCGCTGCCGCCGGCAGCTGAAAACTAATCAAGAATAATACCTCGTATATGTGCGATATTCTGCTCTTGTATATTCAACCAACGCCCGCTTCCTTTACATCGGATCGAAACACACAGATGCGGCTTCATGTACGGCGAGCTGACAGACAAGGAGACGGTGGGACGGCTGGAGTACACGCTGGAGAATCAGCAGCAGGATCAATTCGAGATATTGCTCTACAAAAAGAACAGTGAGTATACAGAGATACATACTAGACCAAGAGATCCTATGCACTTAGAGAAAAACATTATACAAACTATGATTTGAGCTCGAATTGAAATTCATTATATCATGTGAACTCTTAAGATAAGACTTGGTTAAGAATGTACAGCTCGAATGATATTTTTGTGTTTTCTCTGGGTGTATTTGCCGCTTACTCCCAACCTGTAGCTGCAGCCTCAACAAATACATTTATATATGTATATATAAATTAATTTATATTTTTTGTACACTAAGCAAAATGTAAGCTTGACTAAGTTTAATTAGGGTAGGGTATCATGGTGTAAACAATCCACCCTACTCAAGCAGGAGTTGGGGTTAGATTAGGATTTATGCTTCGTCCCTTTCCACATAATAAATTGTTGTGTGTTTGTTGTTGCTACCTCTCTACATGCCCTCCTCTCTTCATATATATATATATATATATATATATCATTTCACTCCACCTAATCCAGCTCAGACTCCAAATATTCCCCTCACTCGCCACTCGCTACTTTATATTCGTTACCTGGCATTCCATTTGTTCCCAGTCTCCTTTGCTAGCAGATGTTGCTTTTTAATACAAACAAATTGAAGTGGCACAACAATTTCTGAGTAGCGCCCATCAATCAAGCCCCAACTACCCCAGAAGACCCCCTACCCTGCAACTGGTGTTTATGTATCTGTAAGCTAGTTAAAACTCGCTCGATATTCCCCTACATGAACTCAACGATAATTAACGCCTTCGAGTATCAATTTACAGATATGCAATGTGGCTGCGCCCTATCGCAGTTTGGCAAGGCACAAACCCAAGGTACATGCAACAAGCAATCGTTTATCGTATATCGATGGCGTTCTCGATAGATGGCATTATGCTATGGCCTGCAGCTGGCGCATCTCTGCTGTCCGTTTGCCTTCGCACCAGAATTAGCAAAGGACATCCTCATCAAATATGCATAAATCAATTGCAATATTGTGCGCTTGTGTGCGTGCCTGCAAATGTGCGTGTGTATGTGCGAGAGTGTATGTGAGCAGGGCAATCGATTCTCATGCATTATGCATGGGCCAAATCAAATGCGTCTCAGGCCACGATTAACTAATCTGAGCTAGCTAATCAAATTGATTTCCACTGTGTCCCAAAAGATCGACTGGGTATGAACTACCAAATCCGAATAAGACAGATTTATTGAGATCCGGGCAAACTATGAAATTGCACTTCGAGATTAGGCCTACTTAACCAAAAACTCCAAATGTTTTATTTCAGATAGATTTTGAAAGCTAAATCAATCGAAATTCAATTCGGTAATTGCGTAATAATCGTTCCAATGCAATCGTTCCAAAGATATGCAGCAATACGATGGCTACGTAATAATCATAGCAATACGTTGTCTATACAGCAATACGTTATCAATACAGAAATACGCAATAATCATACCAATACGTTGTCTATACAGCAATACGTTACGTAATAATCGTAGCAAAACGTTAGCAATGCAGCAATACGTTGGCTACGTAATATTTTTACAGTACGTTAGCTATGCAGCAATACGTTGACTACGTAATAGTCATATCAATACTTTGTCTATACAGCAATACGTTAGCTACGTAATAATCGTAGAAAAGCTTTAGCTATGCAGCAATACGTTTCCTACGTAATAATCATAGCAATACTTTGTCTATACAGCAATACGTTAGCTACGTAATAATAGTAGCAAAACGTTAGCAATGCAGCAATATGTTGCCTACGTAATGATCATGACACTACGTTAGCTATGCAGCAATACGTTGCATACGTAATAATCATGACACTACGTTATCTATACAGCAATACGTTGATTACGTAATAATCATAGCAATACTTTGTTTATACAGCAATACGTTAGCTACGTAATAATCATAGCAATACGTTATCTATATAGCAATACGTTGGCTACGTAATAATCATAGCAATACGCTTTCTACATACTACTTATCGTACGTATTGCTGCCTAGCTAACGTACTGTTACGATTATTACGTAACAGACAACTTGTTACGATTGTTACGTTGTCTACGCATTATAATGATTATTTACATATTTTTTTACGGTTGCTACGTAGCAAACATTTACGACTTCAAACTGATTCAGCATTTGAAATCTAGCTCAAATTGAAATAAGCAGTTTTATGAGACTAAGCAAAAGACTTAAATTAATTGTATAAATCTGATTACAAATAAGTCAAAGCCCTATGAGACCATTCCAACTCCATTTAAAAAGTATCAATTTAACATATAAAATACTCCAACTTACATCAGTTTATTGTCGACTCTAGTTTCACATCTGAGCTGCACTCAGGAATTCATTTCCATGCCGAGAACTTCAAAGTATTTTATATATAAAACAATCAATCATTCTCTCAGTTAATATCTCACATATTTACACATCTGAACCGCATCGAAATTGAATTGGAATTTGTTCTCGATTTTGTTTGCGAGCAAAATCAAATTTAAGCTTCGGCTTCAAATATTTGCTCAGTGATGGCTGTAGGGTATTTCCTTTTCGACCAGCCTTGCAAATCCATTTCAAAATCAATTTAAATTTCTGTTCGAGCAAATGCAATTTATAATTTATGGCATTTACTATTTTTGGGCTTTGGCTAAACATGAATATTTCACAGTTTCCGCATGCCGCAAATTAAATATGAGTACATTGAAGTTGGCCAAGCGAAATGAGACGTGATAATTATTCTTTGGGAATAACGAGACTAGAGCTGCGTCACATGGCGCAGCACATTTTCATTTCTCAAATGATTTCTTTCGTTTTTGGGTTTTTTTTCTTTTCTTTTTTATTATGTTTGGGAGAAAACATACCACAAAAGAAACGCACATCACGTGGCGGCAATTCGATATGCGTACAAATTGAATTCGCTGACAGGTGTCTCGAGGGTAGACATCTGCCGACACCACAGAGAAAAAAAAAAACAAGAAAAACAAAAATGATTCACAGACATGCAAACATGATGTATGTATATAGATTTACTATATATATACATATATATGTATGTAGATAGACAGAATTGATGCTCAATTAGCGAATTTTTTGTTGTATTCCCATTTTGAGGAGAGCGGAAACGGAAGTGACAGCGGAAACGTTAACAGCAAACTGCACATCAAATTAGCCCATAATTATGCTTTTAATACGCGGACCTAACCAGAACCGATCCCAGTCCAAGTCGTAGCCCATACCCAAGCCCAGCCAGCTCCACCTACGCACGTGCCATGCCTCACGTCCTCTCTCTCCCTCTCTCTCTCTCTCACTCTGACAGCATTACAATTGCGCATACGCCGCGTGGGTCAGCGCTGCAAATGCAAATTGAATTGCAATTATTGTTGATTGGGCACACACACATACGTGCACTCACACACACACACACACACACACACAGCTGCTGTGCGTTTGCGTACGTGTGCATTTAATTTACCATCGCACACTTTTGCAACAGAGCATCGCTTTAACAGTTCTTTGAGCCTCGCTCTCGTAATATCCGTAATTGCAATGCCAAACTCAAATCGTGCGTGCCTCTTTTGTTCCTCGTTCTACCTCTATCTATCGCCCTCCCACACCCCTTCCATTCGTGTCTCTGCCAGTGCCTGACCTGAATGCGTTTGCATTCGATTATCCAGCCAGCACTTGCCCTAAATATGTGCTCAAATTGCACATTAATTTGCAGCTCTGCGATAATCCCGCTCAATAAATAACACAAAGCAAACATCGTGCGCTTTACGCCCACATTATTTCTGTTGAACAATTAACAAAAGGCGAAAAGCTAAGCTCTGTTTATTTACGAGCTGTTTGTTAGACTCACACCTGCTCAGAATTGAATGTTTGTATTAGATAGATTTCTGAACGATATACAGTTATATTTGAGTTACTTAAGATGAGTATATTAGTTTTATGCAATGTCTGTCCAGTCCGTCGTTTCGTCTTGCCGCAGTCGGACTTAAAGCCATTTCCAATTCAAGTATTGAAAAATCATAAGGATTAGCCTATGCAATACTTGATATAAAGGTAAACTGTGGATGTAGGAATTTTGAAATACTTCCTATATTCAATAGCCATATTTCTTCCATTCATTAGGTATTCGAGAGTATTCCCTAAGACTTACAGGATACTAAGGAAGCATTTGCCTAAACTATTTTGTTTAGTTTTTGAGTTAGATAGGACTTTAATGAAATATTTTACTTTACTCACGTTCTCGCTCTCTCTATCTCGCTCTTTCTCTCCACCTATTAGAAACGCCGCTATGGCTGCTGCTTCAGGTGGCGCCCATACGCAACGAGAGGGATTTGGTTGTGTTATTTCTGTTGACATTTCGGGATATAACGGCACTGAAGCAGCCCATCGACAGCGAGGATACCAAAGGTGGTAAGTAATGATCTAGCCCAACACGTCTTGTGCCCACCCACCACAAACCCGTTTCCCCCCTATCTACCTAACCACTCTATGTATGTGTATATATATATATGTATGTATATTGCACCCGAGCATACTGCCAGACACAGATTCCACTTTGCAAATTGAAATCATATTCACGAATTGGCTATACACTGCACTCGACACACACATACCCCCCACCCCCTCTTTCTTTATCGCGCATGTATTCTTTGTTACGATTTCTGCGCTCTCTCTCTCTCGCCCTCTCTCTTTTTATCTCTCTCTATATATACATCTCTCTTTCTCTTTCTCTCTATGTCTCTTTCTATCTATCGAACAATAAAACCAAACTGTACATCACTCTACTGTTTTACTCTCTTTTTCTCTTTTGTCTCTGTTTCTCCCGCATATTCCCCGATATCCAACAAACTGCACAACACGCACACACGCTTACGCATTGTATATATATATATATACTGAACCGATATAACCAATACAACACAATACAATACAATACGATACTATATATATGTATATAAATAATAATGTTTGTATATATTTTTAAACAATTGCTTCTCTTCTTTTCTTTATCGCTTTATCGACTTGTCGATTTATCGCCCGTCTTTTGGTATATTTTGCCACTTTCTTTCTTTTCGTTCTCTTTTTATATATATATATATATCTTTCTCTTTCTCATTTTCTCTACTTGTCTTGGTTGTGGCCTGTTCGTGTCTGTCCATATCGTAGCAGTTAATCTATTCCTTCCAGTTTTAGGTCTCTCCAAATTCGCCAAACTGGCGCGATCCGTGACACGCAGCCGCCAGTTCAGCGCGCATTTGCCAACCCTCAAGGATCCAACGAAGCAGTCGAATCTGGCGCACGTGAGTACCAAACGAACTCGAAATCATTTATATATAATTCTATATATGTATATATCTATCTGATCTACGGCAGATGATGTCACTGAGTGCAGACATTATGCCCCAGTACAGACAGGAAGCGCCCAAGACACCGCCACACATACTCTTGCATTATTGTGCATTTAAAGCAATTTGGGACTGGGTGATATTGTGTTTAACATTTTATACCGCCATCATGGTAAGTCCATCCATAGTACAACATCTAGTGTCCATATAATAGATGTTCCAGATCCAAATATTCCCTGTTTGCCAAACTACTTCAACCTTTGCATGTACCCTACCCCATAACCTCCCATATACCCATTCTTATATGTTACCTTTATCTTATCCTTGTAGACCCCCCTTGTAGCACCTACTTCTGAGCTTACCCAATCTTCCATATACACTACTTTAAACACCCTTCTGTTCTCGACTCTACCTCTTTTCCGGGCTCTACCCCAAATCCAATCATATGCCCTACCCTACACTCTACTCGATAGTATACCCTACATTCTCCATAACAAACTAAGAAACTTTCCATAGTAATTCAATAATTATAACATATTGTAAGTAATTCTTCCACTAAGCCCAAGTACTCCCAGAATACCCTGCAAATCGGGGCTCCTGCTCAGTTTATGAGCGCCCATTTTCATCTCAGCTAGTCGCAGCTGACTCATTTGTTTTTCGGGCACGGTGTTATAGGTCTAGCTACTTAGGCGTAACCACACCCACTCACCTCACATGCCACACGCTTCATGCTACCTACATGCCACATGCCTCAAATCCAGGCGGCTGTTGTTTCCTCGCTCTCTACTCAAATTGTGCCTATTTCCGTCAACAAGATGTTAACATTTTCGCTTAAATTGCGCTCAGCCAACTTGACTCACACACACACACAGACATATATACCCCCTCCACACACATGTAGTGACATACATGTGTGCGTACCGAGAACTCAGCAGCCTCCGGAGAGTTGGGGTCGAAAGTTGCTTTGTTGCTCTTTTAGTTTGTAATTTGTTGCTTTTGCGTTTGCAATCGCTCTTACATTGCTTCTATGCCCTACACCATGAAGAGAGAAGGGGTATATAAAAGTTATTTGCATGCATGTGACAGGTGACAAGAAGACATTTCGCACGCTCCTTCAATTACATATATTCGATAATAATAGATTTTCATTGGAGAAAGCCATTTGACAGGCTTATCTGAAAGGTTACATGAAAATATGTATATATGTAGAATATATAATGTTGTCAAGTTGATAACATACTTTAATCGATAAATATTGATTTATGAATCTTAAACGGTTTCCTTACAATCGATATGATTTTGATTTTACAATAAGTTTAGGCTTTAGGGGAGCCCGAACATTCTTCCCATATGCTAATGGAGACTATGTTTGTAGATATAACTCTGATTCAATATGATAAATTGAAGATAGTTAAACCAAAAACTTGGAATAAGTAGTCGCGCAGGAGCCCCTCTATGGGGATTTATAGGGCATCTACTGGCCAAACGCACTCAACGCACTTAGAATTCTGTTTTGTTATTATTTAATGCAATTTGGCTGCGTCAAATTTGGTCGCTGTTGCCAACTTTAGCATCAACTGCGGCCTCTCAGCTCGTCTTAGCCCCCGACAGCACAATGCCCCAAAAACAACTTTTAAGCCAAGCAAACTGAGGCAGGCAGCCGAGACGACTTTGCGATACATTCAAAATGTGGACAAAGCCAAAGTTGCCTTAGACAGCAACCGGCTGAGTGGGTTTTAGTTTCTCAGACTGAGCTTAAGATTGTTAAGACTTTAACGCCTGTCAAAGCATGCATATACGAAAATATGGTTAGAGCTGAAAATGCTACGAAGTAAATACATAATTCAGTGCATTTAAAAGCAGTTCAGTGCGCTGGCTTTAAGACTACAATAATAATGTGATTAGGGAAAGGATTGCAGAGCCTTAATCATAGTAGGATAGCAAGTCTAGAGCGCTAGTTGCCATTTCTTTGTGGCCACAAGGCTAATTGAATAAAAAACCTTCCAAGAAAAATATCCCTCAACTGGATTCCATAATAAATACCTTGCTCACAGATATCACATTCCACTCTTCACGCAGGGCTTCAAAGGGATAATGCGAATAAAATGAGAGTAAATATTTAAATGTTTGTATCATTCGTGGGGCCATCTACCGAATTGGCGTCGTTGGGGCACTGCTTTGACACTTGTTGCTGGGCACATGGCCAGCCTATTCGGGGAGCGCGGCCGTTCAATGGGAGAGGGGATATTGCATTAAGTATTCTTTACCCATTCGCCAGATAAAAGCGAGCACAAGTCAAGTAATCAGATAAAAGTCTCGTCTCTCTGACACTTACACAGCTCTGCCACAAGTGCAGAGACATTTACATGACCAAGTGCCTAGTCGGAGGTGGGCGGAGGTGGGAGCCTAAGCTCTGAGGTCCGACGGGGTTGCCTCTATGTATGTCTACGTCTATGTTTGCGTTTACGTCTATGCCTGCGTCTGTCTGCCATACGGCGTGTATATGCTTTATGTGCTTAAATTAATATTCTCCGAGGGTTGGAGATGGAGGGGAACTACCAGGGTAAGAGGCTTGTAACATGCCACTTGACATCTTGACGCCGGTTAGATGAGGGGAGGTGAGTGGCACGTAACAACGTTAAGGATTACAGATAACACAATGGCAACCAGCTGTTGGTCCAACTGTTGCACAGACAACAATAATAACTAAGACGCTTAAAATTGCCCAGTGATTGGCATAGTACCTAGTACCAGAGGCTTACACACGAAAACTCTCCCTATTTATGGCTACGAATTGTCCGTTTGTCGACGACTTTGGCTAATTGAGTTTCTCGTTTTGCAGGTGCCATATAATGTAGCGTTTAAAAATAAAACCTCAGAGGATGTTTCCCTTCTCGTCGTGGATTCGATAGTGGATGTTATCTTCTTTATAGATATTGGTAAGTTTCCCTTTGGGGCTTAACAAAGCTTCTCTCCGATCTCATGGCTTTACTCGTTCACAGTGTTAAATTTTCACACCACTTTTGTGGGCCCCGGCGGTGAGGTGGTCAGCGATCCGAAGGTCATACGCATGAACTATCTGAAGTCGTGGTTCATCATCGATCTGCTCAGTTGTCTGCCCTACGATGTCTTCAATGCCTTCGATCGCGATGAGGACGGCATCGGTTCGCTCTTCAGCGCCCTCAAGGTGGTGCGCCTGCTGCGCCTGGGCCGTGTGGTGCGCAAGCTGGATCGCTATCTGGAATATGGTGCGGCCATGCTGATACTCCTGTTGTGCTTCTACATGCTGGTCGCCCACTGGCTGGCCTGCATCTGGTATTCGATTGGACGCAGCGACGCGGACAATGGGGTAAGCCAGAGGCCATCAAGAGCCTTAGCCCGTTTCTTTGCCTATACTCTAGCTCCTTGCTCCAGATCCAATACAGCTGGCTGTGGAAGCTAGCGAACGTGACTCAGTCACCGTACTCGTATATTTGGAGCAATGATACGGGCCCCGAGCTCGTCAACGGTCCCTCCAGAAAGAGCATGTATGTGACGGCCCTATACTTTACAATGACCTGCATGACTTCGGTAAGTCTCTGTGGCAGTTGCCAGCAAAGTGGAAGCGCGTCCTGCACCATGTTTGGCCATGTTTGTGATTAATCCTCAAACTGTCTGCTCTCCTTTTCCACAGGTGGGATTCGGCAATGTCGCAGCGGAGACAGACAACGAGAAGGTGTTCACCATCTGCATGATGATCATTGCAGGTGCTGTGTCCAAACACGTTCCGTTGCCGCGTCAAAATTTCTATCAAATCAAATAACAAAACCAAAGAAAAAAAAAGCAAAAAAAAAAACACCCGCTACTCCCACGCAACGCTTTTGAATATACTGTCATTGCAAAAGCTAGAGTCAATTAGAGCGCCGCTAGAACTAATAACTGCCGGAATTGGTAGAGACCAAACAAAGCCATCTCAGCTCATTCAGACCTTTGCATTCGCCATATGAGCATCTCATCTATGGTAGTGCCTATGTCTAAGTACACCTCTGCCATAACTCTCAGCTCCCTCGACCTTCACTCAACACACCACCAACGATGCAAATTGTCGATTGTTAATACCTGATCTATTTCTTTCGTATAATCAATGATAAAACTAATATAACACGACTAGTTGCACAATTCGTCGCCATGTGTGAGTTATTGTTAATCTCTAAAGATATTTACAATTTTGTGAGTTGTTAATCGCATCAGTTACCATTCGTGCGATTCGTCCCATCTCATTCATTTCCCTATGCACAGGGACGCACGGCTGAAGCATATTGCGCATACGCACCGTACAAACATTTGAACTGGGTCTGGACCTCAACAGGCGGGCCCCCGGTGCGCCTGTGTAATGTCTATAAGTTGTGTCTCTCCATGCCTTTCTTTTCCCCCCTCTCTCTCTCCCTCTTTCTATTGCTGTCTCCCTCTATCTCTTTCAATGCCCCACTTTGTATGTCGCTCGTCCAATTCTTCGCATTTATTACCGTTCTAGCTGCGCGCTTGCGCGTTTCATCATCAGCGTTTAGAGAAACTCTCTGTAATTTCAACATCCTAGCAACTGTGCTCAACTCGTTGGCATTTTGTACTCGTACTTGTACTTGTTGCTCCACACTCACACTCACACATTCACACACACACAGACAGACTCATACTGTATGTGAATGCAACGAGTCTCGTTTCTTTTCAATGCCGAATATCTTTCTATCTCTCTTTCTCTCTCTCCCTCTCTCTCTCTCTCTATGGGTCTGCTCTCATAAAACACTGTAGCTCTGCTGTATGCGACCATCTTTGGTCATGTGACGACGATAATACAGCAAATGACATCGGCCACCGCCAAGTACCATGACATGCTCAACAACGTGCGCGAGTTCATGAAGCTGCACGAGGTGCCCAAGGCGCTCAGTGAACGCGTTATGGACTATGTCGTCTCCACGTGGGCCATGACCAAAGGCCTCGATACCGAAAAGGTAAGTGCGCCCGACAATTGACACCTGCCACCCAGCCATCCCCCCTTTATCTATTCTGTCTTGAAAAAAAAAAAAGATAATATTAATAATAAGGAACTTGTGTACTGGACTAAAGTATAGTTCAGACTGACGGTAGAGTCTACGTAGTGGTTTAGCTTATGCATTTAACGAGCTTGTAGAACTTTGCGATCCACATACGCCAAGCATTATAAGCATCCATCAAAACATCATTTTGCTGCTACATAAGCTAATCATCATTTTCTCAACTAGAAAAATACCAACTCAATATTGCTTAGAACAGTCATCAATGTACAGATCGTCAAATATATTTTGATGTCTTCCATCCTCTTGAATCGTCTAATTGCCAAAACTTTACTACTAATCGCTACTACAGTAATCGCTATAGTGTCTTCATCATTTATTTGGTATTACTTTTCTTAGTGCTACACCCAAATGCGGGCTCGACGAGTGCCCCACTAAATGCTCTGAACTTGACAACGAGTTACGAGCTTATCCGCTTAAAAGCCACTTGCTAGTCACTGTTACTAGTTCGTAATCCCTTCTTAAGACTAAATGCAACGAGTTAACGTTCTATTCTAAATAAATTTTATTTCAATATTCAGTAGATTGAAAGAATTATTCTGTAGCAGATGCATATCATATCGTTTCGATAATATTTAATGTTTTGAAAAAATATCAATATAATATTTGATATGCAACTTGAAAAATATCCATATATCATCATTGTTCGATTGTTTTAAAAAACTCAATTGCCACAAGAAATTTCCAGACCGTCCCAAACAAATGGAATAACAACTTATGAGAGGAGTGAGCAATGCAAATATATATCAAAAATATTCGATATTTGGGAAAAAATATTCCGATAAAATAAATTTTTGTTGAAAAATATATCGATATATTGATATTTTGATATATTTTCAACAACCCTAGTAACTGTACAATATAGATATGCGATGAGTAAGATTTGTTGCTGCCCACTCAATTGTAAAAGGATAAAGTCTCGATTTGGTTTCTGTGGTATATTTTATTCGAGGAGGCTCTTATTACAGTGGATATTCAGTATGTATGCATACTACACAATATACGAAGCAGTCTTTTCATTTACTTCTTAGACCATTTAGAATACTACTTAGACTATATTTTATTAAAGTTAGTCGTTGCTCGTTAGCCAAAACGTGATTGCCTGCATTTCAACATACATATATTCGAATATCTTCAACTATTGCACTTTTCATCAACATCATAGTAATAGACGTTTAATTTCCTTGCCCACTCTTAACATTGAAACAATAAGTGGCCATTAATGTCTCAGGCTTATGTACACATACACACATACATATATCTCAGTGCTTATCAACATATTTGTCTGCTCTATCGCTGCCCACATAACTCACTCGCTGCTCTCGCTAACAAGTGCATAGTGTGGCCCTGGCCCTGGCCCTGGCTCTGGCTCTGGCTCTGGCCTGGCTCACAGTTGCTGTAGTTAAGGTCCAAGGCTTGCCACCAGCATACGCACACAGCACACAGCACACAGCACACAGCACACAGACAGACAGACACACACACACACACACACACATATGCAAACACAGAAATTTGCAGCAAAGCTCTTCACATTTCTCAAGTACTTTCGAAATGAAAATGGGAAAACTGCTTAGCCATTGCCATTTGCTCGCTGCTCGCTGCTCGCTGCTGTTTGCTTTGTTTTTGCTGTTATTTTCAAATCGCTTCTCGCATCCACAGCAAACGCTCCAAGCAAAACATTAGAACTTAAATCAAACGCTTTCCCAAACAACAACAACAAATAGAAGAAAACTGAGCGACAAGACTGAAATGTGCCATTGGCACGTTTTCATTTTGTTGCCAACTTAGAAGTGGTTAAGAATTTTCACAAAAACGACGCAAAACAATGTTTAAATTTAAGTGAATCAAGAGCTGTGTGAATCAAAAAAGGTACAAAAAAAAAAAAAAAAAAAAAAAACAAAAAAAAGAATACAAAATAAAAGAAGATGAAGAAGAAGAAACAGAAGCACATTGCTAAAGGGTAAAGGTACAGATCCGACTAGAGGTCCAGCCACAGCCACAGCTACAGGTCCAAGTCCAAGTCGAGGTCAAGGTCAAGGTCGAGGTCGAGGTAAGCTTTCTCTCTCCTTCACTCTCTGTGTGTGTCTCTCTTTCACTCTCTGTTTCTCTCTCTCTATATATATATTTTTTTTTTCTATCTTTCACTGTGTATCTCTGGCATTTCAGTCAGACCCCTCTAACTCTTGATTAAAAAAAAAAAAAACAAAACAAAAAATCAAAAATATGTATTAAAAAATCAAAATTCTATTCTCTGTTTTTCATTATTCGATGCGCGTGAGCTAAATCCGTGCCAAAACGAAAAGCGTCCGTCAAATTCATGCCTTTAGATGAACTTAAACCAAACGCCATTAATTATTTAAATGTTTGGTTTAAATAAGAATAGAGTAAAATATTTAATTTTTACATCAACTATTCATAAATCGCCTACGCCAAGGCCGAAGCAAAGCAACTGACCTTTATACCTATTTCGTTGACTGTAGTTTGTGCCGCAATTCGAGAAAACAATTTTCATTGAAAACAAAGAACAACAACACAGACATGAAAATACGTGAAAAATCGGCCAAAGCCGAACTCTGAAATGACCTTGCAGACGTAGTATTGGGCAGGATATCGGTTCCACTTGATCTGAGTCCGATATCGACAGAGCGATATACGATAACGATATACGAATCGAATCTGAAAGCTAAGAGTTGCAGCTCTGATCGTAATCATAGAGTCTGGCTAGCTAGAGCTCTCAGTTAAATAGGGCTGCAGGGGCAATCCAATTCCGAATTAGAATATGTTCCAGCTATCGTCGCTGGGATAATACGCGTCTGTAAAGGTTTTAAGCTATTTGGAGGTCTGTTAACTTACAGAAACACCCATCCACACACACACACACACACCTACTCAACCGATTTCCACCAACACATACACATATGTATGTATATATAGATATATACATATACACCTATACATGTAGATGTATATATATACATATACGTAGATATAAACACGACACAGAATAAACAGAAGGAACACACACAGACACAGGTCTTTTGTACACTGTTCAATGTTGTATATGTGTATTAGTGTATGTGTGCGTGTGTGTGACTCTCTCTTTCTCTCTCTGTCTCTGTCTCTTTGTGTGTCTCTTGTTCTCTCTCTCTATTGTGTATTACTTAATCAATCAATCATCCAGAGCCCGCAGGCAAATGTCCGTACGTGTCCATAGCTAGCACTCACCTTGTTGGGTGGTAAAGCACAAGTAAACTGTTCCACAATCCCAATGAGAATTTCCCGCCTTTCCTGAAGCCCCCCGAACCAAGTAGGGTTTTTGCGATCCCGCCAGTACGGTGGGATTGCGGGTTAGCGTGTGAAGATACCTTGAGTAGCAGAGCACACAACGCAACTGGCAACTCATTCACAATTCGCAGGTACTAAACTATTGTCCGAAAGATATGAAGGCTGACATATGTGTTCATCTAAATCGCAAAGTATTTAACGAGCATCCAGCATTTCGTCTGGCCTCGGATGGTTGTCTGCGCGCATTAGCGATGCACTTCATGATGTCCCACTCGGCGCCGGGGGATCTCCTCTATCACACCGGCGAGAGTATCGATAGCCTCTGCTTTATTGTGACGGGCAGTCTGGAGGTAATACAGGACGATGAAGTTGTGGCAATATTGGGTATGTAAAAGCAATTACCAACAAATGTGTATGTATATCAAATCAAGAAAACAATTTGCAATAATTATCCCATCCAAGGCAAAGGCGACGTCTTCGGCGATCAATTCTGGAAGGACTCGGCCGTTGGCCAGAGTGCCGCCAATGTGCGTGCACTGACCTATTGTGATTTGCATGCCATCAAACGTGATAAATTGCTCGAAGTCCTCGATTTCTATTCGGCATTTGCGAATAGCTTTGCACGCAATCTGGTGCTCACCTACAATCTCAGACATCGACTGATTTTTCGCAAGGTGGCCGATGTGAAGCGCGAAAAAGAATTGGCCGAACGGCGTAAGAACGAGCCGCAATTGCCCCAGAATCAGGATCATCTCGTGCGCAAAATATTCTCCAAATTCCGGCGTACACCCCAGGTTCAGGCGGGCAGTAAGGAACTGGTCGGCTCCGGTCAAAGCGATGTCGAGAAGGGCGACGGCGAGGCCGAACGCACCAAGGTTAGTGTCCAAATTACCTTTTTTTTTCCCCCATGCGTTTCGTGTTCTGTTTCCGTTGTTTTTCGTGCAATGCTTTTGTATGTGTTTTGCGTTATACCGTCAATGTTACCGTTAATCATATTTAGTTACAAATTTGTGTTTTCATTTTTAATGAGAGCTCGCTCAAAACATAAGCCAGGGAATAGAGCGCATTATATCACGGCTACTCCTTGTGAGTTTCTCTCTCTCTCTCTCCCTCCCTCCCTCTGTCTTGTGGCGCTTTTTGTGTGTAGCCTCCTCTGATTGAACTTCGATGCGATGTAGGCATTTCGTGTTTAAGCTCGACATCGAATTTCGATAGTTTTTCGATTATATTCCATTTCACTTTTGTTTCATTATTATTTCCTTCATTTACTATGAATCCGTTAAATGTATTTCTCCTCTTTTTTTGTGCGCATATATATTTGTGTGTTTGTGTATAACTGCCACATTTGTTATTAACCGAGTAATTGAACTAACGTTATATTTTTTATCGAAGCATTATCGTTACTAATCCACTCACAGCTACAGCTCAGCCACAGCCACAGCTCAGGTTTGTTGGGCCATGTGGCCAAGCTGGCACCGTTAAGCGTTTACCGTTACCGTTTACCGTTAAACTGTTCAACTGTTAACCGTTAACCATTTACAAATATCGTATTACTGTTATATCAAATGCATACAATTGACTTATGCTCGTCGTATATCTTTCTTTATCTTCCATTAACATGCTTACGCTCTTACTGACAACATTAACTGCATAACTATGTCTCTCTGTCTCTCTCGTCCATCTCTCACATGCACAAATACGCTCGATCCATTCACGTACCTGATCTCACATTCACGTTTGTTTTCAATATCTCGAAACTCCCCACATCCATAAATACTGCCTCTACACTCCTTTTCTCTCTCTCTCTTTGTTTTTCTTTCTATCTCTATTTATACCGTTGTTGTCAAACTGTTGTTTTGTTATGCTGCCTCCGATTGTATGAAATTTATTGAACATTGGCTGAATTGATACAAAATATTACTAACGAAATACTGTAAATTATTTTTCCTCCCTCCCCAACCCCCACTTCTTTAACCTCCACATTAAAACGTCTTGCAACACTGAAAACTTACAAAATTTATACACCTTCAAAACTACACTCTAATTCTTGCCTTGCTGAATTCTCCTTTCCCGGTAATCTATATATCTATCCTATTCCGCTTCCTCCCTTCCACAACAACACAAACACAACACATTCTCTCCTTTTCCGTTCTTTTGCTCTCTTTCTCTCTCTCTCTCTCTCTTTCTCCCTGTATCTCTCTCTCTCTCTCTCTCTTCCACGCTCTCTCTCTTAAATAACTGCTGTCTTGTGCTCGCCAAAAACTTCCAATTGCTCGTTTACAAATACAAACCAAACAAAAAAATCCAAAATCTATGAACCCATCCAAGAAGCTACCCGCTAAACTAACATTAACCGAGGACTCACGCATATTAACAACCGCCGCTGTTCCCTCACCATCGCCATCACCCTCGCCCTCATCGGGTCCACCATCTGCACGTAGTACCCGTGCTAGCAAATGGGGACGCCTTCTGGGCAGTTCAAGTGTCGATTCAGCTAGCGATACGAGCGCCAAGGTAGCCGTCTCGAGAAGTTTGAGCGCCCGCGAAAGTCTGCGTGAGAGCACTGCCCAAGCGAGGCAGAGTAGTACTTCGAGTAGCAATGGTGGACAAGGCAATAAAGTAATTACCGTTAACAAATCAATACGAATGCGATACATAACAATAATCAGCAACAACAACATTAACAACAAAACAACAAACAAAGCAATAAGAATTAACAAATATTTCAAAATTTTTAATAGCAAAAACCAATACAAGAAACTCTTCAAAGCGTTACGTGAAACGATTTCTATTTGGGATATTCTTGTACCGGCTTTTGCCACACAATTTTTATTGAACATATCGTTTAGCAACGATTTTTAATGCTCACCTATTTTCGTTTTGTTCTTTCTTCTCGATGCCAACTCTTCGCCATTTTGCTTTCATTTCGTTTATTCGATTGGTTGTCGACTTTTACGTTCGGTAATCAAAATAAAAAACCATAAAACTAAAACTAAAACAATAAATAAAGCATTTACAATTAAGCAAAGTAAGTTTTATCGATCATTTGTCATTTAATTGCTAGCAGAATAAGTCAATTAGATATTTAGTTGCTTTACTCACCATGCCAAAACAAAACACACCACGTTTATCGCTATCGATAGCCAATTATCGATACATGCACTGTACACATGTACAATAAAGCAGTCAGCACAGCGACACATTTGAATAAATGCACGCACGAGTTAGGCGCCAGCTGGATGCCCTTGCTAGACGACACTACACGATTTAGAAACGAGCGTACAAATTATTCGCTTAATTTATTTTATTACTATTTTTATTTATTTAAATATTACGACCTGTATGGCTTTCGGAATTTAGCGATCCCTTGCTCTTAAGACAATTTCGACGTGTTCATTCGCAATTCATTAAATTATTTATTTTCTCTACGACATACATACATACACATAGTTTATATGTGTCCCGCAGTAGCACGCACGAAACTTTAGGCTCGTTAGCGTGTTGATGTCGTGCAGCGATGAATGCACGACTTGTGCCCAGCCCTCGTGCCGATCGCAGCCATGCGATATTCTCTGTCGATTTGCATGTGGCTATCGATATTAGGCTCGTGCCAGCAATGCGTCGCCGTACTGCCTGTACCACCTCTAGTTAATATTCATTTTATCTAGCGCGCTGCTATGCTCATGCACATGCACACACAGATCTACACACATAGTGTGTGTGTGTGTGTGTGTGTGTGTGTGGGCATACGATTGCATATGCACTGAACACGATAGCAAATTAGAGTTTCTTGCGACCTAATATCGATTGATATATGTTTCTATTTTTCGTTTATTTCTCACCGAATGTTTGCAAATAAAAAAAAACTACAAAAACTACGCCAATAAACAAAAAACATTGCTTGCCTTGCTACTACAAACAACCACAACAACAACAACAACATCGAACTGAATCCGATATTTGAATTGGACGCTGAATACAAATTTGCGCGCCATTTGCGAATCGAAAAAAAAAAACAAAATCCAATTGGAACTGCACGCTTAACACCTTGAACAACCTTTGCAATGAACAACAACAACAATAACAACCACCACAACAACAACCATCACCAATGAATGAATGCCAACAACAAATCCAAACTGATGCAACTTAACCAAACATAACTGTAAATCCACTTTTCTCATTCTCTCCTATTTCCTTGAACTATAACAAAAACTGAAACCAAACGAATGAAAACCCAACCCGCTCGCTCGCTATTAATTGTCATCGATCGAACTGTCACCACCTTCAAATCTATCCACCTGTCAACCTGACAACCTGTCAACCTGTCAATCTGTCCAACTGTCAACCTCTGCATCTTCCGCTATGCATCCATTAAATACGTCACCCTGCAGGTATTCCCCAAGGCGCCCAAGCTGCAGGCTAGCCAGGCGACGCTCGCTCGCCAGGACACCATCGACGAGGGCGGCGAGGTGGACTCGTCGCCCCCCAGCCGGGACAGCCGTGTGGTCATCGATGGCGGTGCAGCCACCACAGCCACGTCCACAGTAACAGCCACCGCAGCGGGTGCCAGTGGAGCAGGCGGCAGTGCGAGCGGCACGACAGGTGCTCCAACAGCTGCGACTGGCGTCAAGGAGCGTAATTTAGCGCTGGAGCGGGAGCGACAGATCGAGATGGCCAGCTCGAGGGCAACCACATCGGACACGTACGATACGGGACTGCGGGAGACACCGCCCACGCTGGCACAGCGCGATCTCATTGCCACCGTGCTGGACATGAAGGTGGATGTGCGGCTGGAGCTTCAGCGCATGCAGCAGCGCATCGGCCGCATCGAGGATCTGCTGGGTGAGCTGGTCAAGAGGCTGGCACCTCAAATGGATAGCAGCGGTCAAACGACACCTGGCGACGAGATCTGTGCGGGCTGCGGCGCGGGCGGCGGCCCCTCAGCAGCGGTAGCTGCACCCACAACCGCTACGGTCACCACGCCCGTGGACACTGTGATAACCATCTCATCGCCTACAGCCGCTGGCGCGGGCACATCGACATCTGCAATAGCAATAGGAACAGGAGCAGGAGCAGGAACAGGAACAGGACCAGCATCGGCGAGCGCTGGCGCTGGCAGCGGTCTACTAAATCCAAGCGTCCAAGTTGTGTCTGGCGCGGGAGGCAACGGCCTGGGGCCGCTGATGCTCAAAAAGCGACGCTCAAAGAGCAGGAAAGCACCGGCGCCTCCTAAGCAGACACACGCCGTGACGGCCACAACGCTAACGGGTGCGACTGTTGCAACTGTAACTGTTGGATCTGGTACGACGAGCGTGACAGCGTCAGCGTCTGCATCTGCATCTGCGCCTGCCGCAGCCACACCAGCAGGAGCAGCAACGAGTCCATCGGCCGCTGCCGAGCTGCTGCATTTGCGCCTGCTCGAGGAGGACTTCAGTGCGGCTCAGTTGACGGCGTCCAGTGTCGCTGGCACGCCCACAACATCGGCAGGCACACCGCCCGCTGGTGCAGCGACGCCAACGACCACAACAACAAGCGCAACAACAACGCCAACGGGCAGCGGACGCAGCGTGAAGCGCGAGTTTCTCTAGCCAAAAATACTGGAGCGCCATCTGTCGGCGGATAGCAGCAGCTTCGAGCAATAATACTCGACAAATTCAGAGTTTGCCTACGCATACGCTTAGCTAGTCCGTAGTCCGTAGATATGCATAATAGGAACTATATGATGTATACATGATGTACATGAAGCTGTAACTAATTTTAGATACACCTACACTCACTCTTTCTCTCTCTCTGTGTCTATGTCCCTCTCTCTCTCGCTCTCTCTCTCTCTGTCTAATGATATCTCAATATGCCTTTATACTCGAACTCTGGCGCTTAAAGCAACAAGTCTTTCTCTCTCTTTCCCTCCTCACACACTCTTTTTCTATATATACATATATATATATATATATCTATCTCTCTCTCTGTCTTTGCTAACACACATTTATCGCGTGCACTTATTGCTCTATCTATCTATCTCTATCGCTCTCCCCGGCAACATTTGCTAGCGGTACAAATTTTGAAAGCACTCTCTGATGTATCTGATGTAATATGATGTACGATGGAGCTCAATCATGTGATGCTCGTTTATGAATATTAATTAGGGGCATTAAGCATAAAGCATATTGCTTACGAATTTGCTACATTTACTGCAATTATTTACCTTTATATACAAACAATATTATAGATCAGATCGGAGCCGAACTAAATAGCTATACTACACTTATACACACACACACACACACACACACACACACACACACATACACATACATATGTACTTACATAGATATATATATGTGTGTGTATATGTATAGACATACATGATGTAAATTAATATTTTTGTGATAAAAGCTAAAGCAGGCAAGCAGCAAATAATGCCAGTGAATTGTACATACAAGTAGGATGTGCTTAGGAAAAGCCCATAGGAAAAATAAATAAAAAAAATTAAAAAAAAAAGAGAAGAACCAAAACAACAAAATATATAGTTACTTAGAGCCGATCCCAGCAGAATTGAGCATTAGTTTGTTATATATATATATATATATGGATTCAATTTGTAATCAGTAAACTTTGCTTTTCTATATGTTAATCATGATAACGCATCTCTATGTAGATAAATATTCAAACCTAGTTTCACTCCTAGAAAACATTCTGTTGCCTACTTATAGGAGGACAAAGAAATCAAAAAACTATAGCCAATGACTGCTTCAGATAGAAATGCATTATTAACGCAGGCAAGCTATAGATATCGACGGGAATGCGGCGTTAGCCTGCGACCCTTTCAGCTAGCCCTAGGAATCAGTTCTTCAGAAGTTTCGCAATTCTGCTGGGCGTACATTTTCGAGATGCCCATTGCAGTCAGAGCCACGGCTTGGTGCCGTGTGTCGTGTGTGTATTTCATGATACCCGTCCTATATATGTATATACGCCTTAAGCGCTCGCTCTAGGGTATACCTATTATGGGGTACGTAAGTAAACACAATTAGCAGCAAACACTAACTGTACGAAAGATCCCAGCCACAACAAAACAGAGACGACAACACACAAAAACGAAAAGACAATCGACAACAACAAAGAAACAAACCAAAAATAGAAATGATTAAAACCAAAAAGCAGAAGATATTACAAAAAAAAATACCAAAAAAAATAAGCATTTGTATATACATATTTATACAAAGAAAAAAGGCGAAAAAAACAATGTAAATAACAAATAAAAAATATATATTTCATGCTGCGATGCTTTAAATTAGTAAAAGAGAAAAAAATATTCGTTTATGTAAATATTTGAATTGAATAACTTGAAGAGAGTATAAATCAACTTAAAGCTGGCAAATATTAAGAGCTACGTTTAAATACTGCAAATATTAATTAATATTCCAATTGTTTAACACACTCACACACTCACACTCACACCTACTCACATTTACTCACATTTACTCACACACATTTACAAAATACCTACTTTGTGATAAAGCGGATAAAGAAAGAAAATACTAAAATTAATTATTAAAGACATTTATAATATTTGTTCGTCATGCAACACGACAAAAGGCTTGCCTATAGTATATAAAATATTCAAATGTTGAAATATTGCAAATTGTTAAGGCCCTCGTTAAGCCGCAGTTAAAGGGGCAAGTTTAAAGATATAATACTTTTGTTCACGTTCTCTTTTGGCATGTGTCCAAACACAAAAAGGTTTCATAACATTTAAGTCGCTTAAGTCGCGAATTATTTTCCACTTGAAGGATTCAGATTCAGATGCGCTAAGTTCTTAGTTTGCTTTTATTAGTTTCTAGATGTAGAGGCTTTACCACCACAGTACACACGATCCCCTCAAGACACATAAAGCAATACGAACTATTGTCTTCCCGGAAACGAACTCGACGCGCTCGGAACTGTAGAGAGTTGTTACTTAGTTAGTTTTACTTAGTTATATTTAGTCTGGCCTAGAGAATTCAACAACAACAACAACAACCATTTCCAATGACATAGAGCAAGTGTTCCCCAGATTCCGATTCGACCAACAGCCACAAGAACAAGACAAGATAAGATGAAGAAGAGAAGCAACCGAAAAGCAATTCAAGTGGTATTACAAATTGACTTACATTTAATTACGATAGTGTTTGTAAATACGGCATAGTTTTCAATTTTACGGAATATACGTGTATATCCATTCAAACGTTTTGATAGTTATGATACAGAAAATGTTTACCGTACACTTTGTTGTTGTATATGTTTAGAACAATTCCAGAAAACCAACCAAGGTATATATGCATATATCTATATATGTATATGTATATATGGATGTTAACTAGCGACGGGCTCATTGTACATAGTCTAGTGTAGCTGTTAAGGGTTATAGAGTTACATAGTATACATACATACATTATAGGTATTTTTTTTCTTAGTAGCTACACGAAATTCAAAACAATTATGAGTACATAGAAAATTCCACACGGTTTAGCTTAAGGCGCACTGGTCAGATGGAACGACTCAACTAGCTATAATAATGCATTCATTACAAATTAGTTTACACAATATGTTAGATACCAGGAGATACGAGGATACGAGGAGTTTTGGACAGAGTACTTAACTACATACATATAGAGCATAGATCTAATGACTAGCGGTACTAGTTAACTGTATAACAGTTTCCTTTTCCTTTTCCTTATTCATTTTCTTTTGTTTTTTGTTTTTTTAGGATTTATTAATTTACTTTTCTTTACATATAATAGACAAAGAATACTTAAAATACCGAGAGAATAAACTTAAATTAAAATAATATTAACGAAAAAAAAAAATGAAATGGATCAACCATAAATAGCGTTGGCCTCATACGCTTTCGCTTCCAGCTCATAGCTCGCAGCGACAATATTTTAAAATACCAATTTAGTATTTATTTAGTTTGACATGTGTGCGTTTTTTTAGAAGTTTTTAATGCTAACTACACAGAGCCTTATACGTTTATGATAAACAACTAACCAAGAACACCTAATTTATTACCTATAAAAAAATATTTAAAAAGAAAAAAATACAATAAAAAAAATAAATAAAAAAAAAATGAATATGCTGAACAAAAATCCCAAGCAAAATTACGGTGCAATTACAATTTATAGAACACGCTAAATACGCGCGATATTTAGTCGAAATTTATATAAAAAGGAAACAAAGAGATATTTATATATACCTATATATACACCAGACCTTCGAGGAATTGTAAAACTCTCACACACTCGAAACAACTCAAAGTCAGGCTCACCCAACTAAATACTCATAAATACTAACTACTATCACGCAAGACGAAGAAGACGTATTACAAGCCTATTGATGAATTTATGCCAGAGATCGAATGTATATAGTACATCTAAACACTATATATACATGTGAACACATAGAGATAGCTGCTTCAACTGCTTAGAAGCGCCAAACTGAAAATAATACAAACAAACAAACAAAAATATATACATATATAGATACTAAACCGCATACAAAAACCACTTTAAAGCTTACACAGATAAACCCGAAAAACAAACAAAAAATTAACAAGCTTTTATACGCCAGAATTTTTTTCTAAGCGAAGATCTTTAAGAAAAACAAAAAGAAATTACCAAGAAATAATACAAGATATTAACATGAAATACCAACTGACAAATACTAATAATTAATAATAATAAATAAAGCAAAAAGCAAACGCCACTTAATTAATTGTTAATTATGTACACAAGAAAAAATCAATTGTAATTAAATTATACAATTATATACACACTCATATATGTATGTATATATACATATATTTATTTAATACCAAAGCCTTAAACACTTGGAGAGATACTAAAATATATACCAAACTCACGCCTAATTTTTTTTTATGAAACCTAAACATTTTCTGGCAAGCAAACCGAAACCGAAAAGAATAATTATGAAAATGGTAATATACCAAAAATACGAAATAAATACTATGCGTAATGTGCTAGAAACAAGTCTCTAGTCTCTAGACGAAAAAGAACCAAAATTTTACAAAAACAACTATATTAAATCAATAAAGCAAACGTTAAACAATTTCCACCAATTTGATGAGCATAATTCAGATATATGTATGTATATATATATATATATATATATTCAATTTGAATATTGCATAGACAAAAAAAAAAATGATTTGGAATACGCGCCCTTTTTATTTTGAACATGATAAAGCTGCCTATTTATATATTTACAAAATAAATAATTATAAAAAAATAAAAAATAAAAGTTACAAAAAATACATTACAAAATAGTTTACATATATACCAGATATTGAGTTTGTTTTTGGTTCATTTATGCTCGAAAAATTTAGAGACTACATATTTAGGTAGTATATCCACAAAAAAAAAGAAAAGAAAAAATAAAAAAAAAATAAATAAAAACGCTTGGACAAAACAAAGCTGAACTTATGAGCAACTGATAAAATAAATGAAGAAATAATAAAAAAAAAAACAATATATGATTAAAATAATATTAAAAAAAAACAAGCCCATTAAAGAATAGTTATAAAATTTATTTGAGAAAATCAATTAATTAATGCTGTAATTAATGTGTATAGTAAATTAATTATTATGACATTTGCATTGATATTAACACACACAGACACACACCCATGTTAATAAATCTTTGACTATGTTGAGCAAGCATAAAAATTTACAACAAAAATACCAACAAAAATACTGCTCGTATGCATTCATTATGAGAAATACTTAAAAGAAAAATAACAAGATATTAAGAAATACATCTAACACAGCAAAAAAAACAAAAACAAATACGCAAAACAAGGTCAAAAATTATGATTAAAAAAGAGGAAAGGAGAAAAAACGAAAAAAAAAAAACAAGACAAACAAAAA